AAAAGGCCCGGTTCTCCTCTACTGTGATTTACTGACTATGATCGAAGTTGTTATCATTGTACAAGGCCGAGTGTAGTTAGACCAGATACTGACAAAGTGTACTTCGGGAATAAGAGAACATTTAAAGAATGAGCAATACTTCCTTTTAGGAGAGTTCGATATTTATTGAATTGACAGGAAAATAGCAATTTTTAGTTACTAGCTTTGGGAAAATCTTTTTGATCTAGCCGTTATACAAACAAAAAGTTTGTAAAATGGTAATTGCTCTGCTTTGATTAGAACGTATTTTTAATACGAATTTGGAGTATTTAGTTTATAAACTAAACATGGACAATCATTGAAAGATCTAGTGAAATTCAAAATTGAAATTTCTTCATTTTTTTTTTTTTTTTTATTTCACTGGATGTTTCGATGGCAATTTGGAATTCTTTAGCGTCGTTACGTAAAATAGTGTCTTTCATATGACATTGCCCATTTCATACTTTTAATTTTAACGAGCCCTAAACGAATAACTTTTTGAGCCAACTGGCTTTTCTACTCGGTAGCAACGCAATAGTTACACAATTATTTAATGATTGATCCGTAAGTTTCTTCCTCTTAAATAAACGCCAATGAAAGAGTCCGGCCTTTATACGTAAACTATTTAAAAAATTGACACAAATCTTTGAATTAAAATAGATTTTCATCAAATTATCTCAAAGGCTGCATTTAACTATGAATAGAATGATACGAAATTCGGAATTGATTGCTTGTTTTTTAAGTTTTTGTTAGGTTTTAAACAGAGAGAAATCTCGGTTATGTTGGTTTATATAGCTTCGAATTTGTCTTCCTTTTCATTCTCACTATTCTCAATTTCGTCATGATAACACTAAAAATATCTGTGTGGATTGAGATGGTGCTAAGGCAAATTGACTAAATAGCAAAACGCACACAGGAACTGCAAGGTCTTGTTATCTCACAACCATTATCATATATAAGCAAGAACACGAAATTAAAAGAGGGTTTTCCANTGTTCGCATCCTTGGTTCTGGTCAGCTCCTTACAACAGGTATGTACAGACAGTTTCTTACGCAAAAGGCCAGGTTCTCCTCTACTGTGATTTACTGACTATGATCGAAGTTGTTATAATTGTACAAGGCCGAGCGTAGTTAGACCAAATACTGACAAAGTGTACTTCGGGAATAAGAGGACATTTAAAGAATGAGCAATACTTCCTTTAAGAAGAGTTCGATATTTATTGAATTGAAAGGAAAATAGCAATTTTTAGTTCCTAGCTTTGGGAAAATCTTTTTGAACCTCTTCGATCTAGCCGTTATACAAACAAAAAGTTTGTAAAATGGTAATTGCACTGCTTTGATTCGAACTTATTTTCAATACGAATTTGGAGTATTTAGTTTATAAACCAAACATGGACAATCATTGAAACATCTAGTGAAATTCAAAATTGAAATTTCTTATTTTTTTTTTTTTTTATTATTTCACTGGATGTTTCGATGGCAATTTGGAATTTTTTAGCGTCGTTACGTAAAATAGTGTCTTTCATATGACATTGCCCATTTCATACTTTTAATTTGAACGAGCCGTAAACGAATAACTTTCTGAGCCAACTGGCTTTTCTACTCGGTAGCCACGCAATAGTTACACAATTATTTAATGATTGTTCCGTAAGTTTCTTCCTCTTAAATAAACGCCAATAAAAGAGCCCGGCCTTTATACGTAAACTATTTAAAAATTTGACACAAATCTTTGAATTAAAATAGATTTTCATCAAATTATCTCAAAGGCTGCATTTAACTATGAATAGAATGATACGAAATTCCGAATTGATTGGTTGTTTTTTAAGATTTTGTTAGGTTTTAAACAGGGAGAAATCTCGGTTATGTTGGTACATGTAGCTTCGAATTTGTCTTTCTTTTTATTCTCGCTATTCTCAATTTCGTCATGATAAAACTAAAAATATCTGTCTGGATTGAGATGGTGCTAAGGCAAATTGACTAAATAGCAAAACGCGCACAGGAACTGCAAGGTCTTGTTATCTCACGACCATTATCATATATAAGCAAGAACACGAAATTAAAAGGGGGTTTTCCAATAGAAAAGATAATTAACTACTTGTTACTGAAAAAGTGAATTGTTTACTGAACATGTATGCCTTACAGGGAACTTATGTCCCTTCTGCACATCTGGAGGGTGGGGTCCCAGCGGCCACTGATTACGCCGTGAAT